GGGCTTTGGACAAGGGCCTGCAGGGACAGGCCAAGGGGAATGGCTTGAACCTTCCAGAGGGGAGACTGAGATGAGCTCTTAGGCAGAAGCTCTTCCCTGTGAGGGTGCTGAGGCTCTGGCACAGGGTGCCCAGAGAAGCTGTGGCTGCTCCATCCCTGGCAGTGTTCAAGGCCAGGTTGGACACAGGGGCTTGGAGCAAGCTGCTCCAGTGGAAGGGGTCCCTGCCCGTGCAGGGGATGGAGCTGGAGGAGCTTTAAGGTCCCTTCCAACACAAACCATTCCATGAAATTTCAAGAGTAAGTTAATCCCAACTCAAAGGCAGGATGCTCTGGGAGGAGAAACTTGTGGTGTCACTGAGCACCTTCCCTGGAGCATCCCTTCACACCAAGGGAAGGCTGCTCATGGGACTGAGTGCTGACCAGACACTGCCTGTCACCTCTCTGTACCTGTTCCCGGTGTGCAGGTTTCTCTGCACCTGAACTCTGGCTAGGCTGGAGAATAAAGGCTTTAAACTTAATATGCGGTCACAGGTCCTGCTAAAGCGGTTCCACAGCAGTTAAAGCTAGCTATTAAATGATGCTGCCTACCTATGTAATTACTATCTTGGCAGCAGTGAAGGCATCATTAGGGGTGTGGAGCCCAAGAGCTGCCTATTCCACAGCTGCCTGATGTGACAGCAGCCCTCGTGAAGAGCAGAGATGGGCCGTGTTGCGCTTGGAATTGAAAGGCACATCCATTTCTTGCATGTGTGTGATGCCAGGGGACATGTTTGTAGCCTGTTGTCTCTGCTTCCTATTCATTTCAAATTCTGGAAACTTTTATTTTTTGGAGAAAAAGAGCCAATGCCATTCCCATCTGGTGAAGTGCTGAGAGCTTTGACTTCAATGAAAGCTTAAATAGGGTTTATTTCTCTTATTGTACCTAAGATTTCAGTAGGGTTTATGCTGATGGTATAGACTCTTTGCAGGAAAAATGGTGCAGCTGCTCACTAGTTTCAGAAATCTGTGCTTAAATAGGAGCTAGAGAGAAAGTAGCTGTAGATCAGAACAGAATCACCTCCTTGGATCTGCACGTCTGTCAGGTACCCCCATCCCATAAGGTATGTAAATTATGATGGCAACATGTGGAACAGCTGCAGGTCTGTTGTCTCTCCTAACAGACTGGTGCTGGTCCTGCATTTCAAGCAGGATTCTGTGTCTCTTCCCTCTTGCTGGTGTCTGGCTGGGAAATGGCCCCTGGCTCCCATTGCTGTCTCCAGATGGACCCTTACTGTAAAAGTTCCTTGTGAGTTATGAGCTGTGTATATTGATGTGGTGTTCATCCAGAAAGAGCTGCAAATTGGGCAGTCAGGCCTCAGAGATGGAAAACTGTCTTAACTGCAATGGTCTTAAACACACATGAGGGTGCTGTAAGGGCTGGAGCAGCTCTGCTCTGGAGCCAGGCTGAGAGAGCTGGGCTGGGTCAGCCTGGAGAAGAGAAGGCTTCTGAAGGGGAGACCTTAGAGCAGCTCCAGTGCCTAAAGGGGCTGCAGGAAACCTGGAGAGGGGCTTGGGACAAGGGCCTGTAGGGACAGGCCAAGGGGAATGGCTTGAACCTGCCAGAGGGGAGACTGAGCTGAGCTCTTAGGCAGAAGCTCTTCCCTGTGAGGGTGCTGAGGCGCTGGCACAGGGTGCCCAGAGAAGCTGTGGCTGCCCCATCCCTGGCAGTGCTCAAGGCCAGGTTGGACACAGGGGCTTGGAGCAAGCTGCTCCAGTCGAAGGGGTCCCTGCCTGTGGCAGGGGTTGGAACTGGAAGAGCTTTAAGGTCCCTTCCAACACAAACCAGGCTGGGATCCTATGAATGTGAGTGTCCTAAATTATCTTGTTTTTTTGTTAACTTTTCAGCTTAATAAAACCTTCTAGTTATAAACAAGAATTTTCCATTAAAAGCTGATTAAGCTGGAAACCCAGCTGAAAATAAATTGCAGGAAGCTGTGATCATCTGAGGCCCTGAATACCTTGTTCCACATTCCTTAGTGCTTTAAGCTGCAAAAAATGGCAATCCCTTGTGTAAGATTTTCCTCAGCACAGAAGCTCATTTATCACTTTGATGTTAATCGACCTGTGCTAAATATTTATTCCAAACTGCCCAGACACAGAAACTCTGTGCATTGCCCTGTGCATAGTGTTGGGGCTGTGAAGCAGTCCTTGCTGCATTTAGGCTACTGAAATAGGCGTTTCATAGAGGAGGCTGAGCTGGAGGAAGTTGAGCAGGAGCAGTGCTGCAGCTTCCACCCAGGTGGGAGAGCTGTGCTGTCTTCAGGGCTTGCAGTGGATCCCTGCTCTGCTGTGCAAGCTGGAGGGCTATGTATGGTGCTTGTAAAAGCAGGAGCCTTGATCTCTGTCTACAAATGATAAATGAATGAAGGAAAGGATTTCTAACACAGAGTGGAGGCTGGCAGTGCATTCTGGTACGCTTGAACTGGTGTGTGTGGGAAAGGGAGGGCATAGGATCACAGTCCTGATACAAGCTCATCACAAGGTCTTTTACAATGATTCTTGCAGTGTTTGGTGTCTGAGCAGCTTGTTTTCAAAGTACATAAGCATGAACTGCAGCTGAACTGTAGCTGTTCTCAGAGAAAGCTGCAGTGGGGAGCTGTACATAAATTGTAGTTTACTTGGGCTTGTCTAATGGTTGTAAAATCTCTGGGTTTGCCAATAATTCTCCATGATGCACAAAATCCGCCATAAAGAATGTCTAATCACTGACACTTCCCCAGCATCTGTCACTACATAACCACAGCCCATTAACAGCTTTATCTTTGAGTAAGAAAACTTTATATATCCTTAATAAAGCCATTAGCACAGAATTAACCAGACTAAATACACCAGCAGTGTGTTACTCAGTATTTTGTGATCTGGCATAAAGCTGGAACATGTCAGATGATGTTTGTGTTGTGCTTGGTTCTGCAGAGCAAATGCTGTCATGTGTTGTACAGAACCCCAGGCCTGTTCCCGCTCCCATCAGATGAGGCTGGATGTTGGCCTGGACCCAAAGTACTGGGGAGATTCACTGGTTGTTGGAGTGAAAGGCAATGAAGGGGCTTATTTTGGGTCTGAGTTCTGCTGAACAGTGGAGGTGACCTGTGCTCTGTAGTTTCAGTGGCTTCTGCTGAATTAACCTGTGTGACTCTGTCCTGGGCAGCCTTGGCAGTGCCTTCACAAAGTACTTCTTCATTCTGTCATCCATCAGTGTAATTCTAAAGTAATCAAATCCAGTGTATTCACAGCTAGTTGCAGAACTGAAGATAAGTGTAGGGTTCTGGATGCCAGGGTGTCATCTTGAAGGACTGTCAAGCTTCTCATGATGGCATCTGACAAAGTACAGAGTGGCTGCAGGACCAGTCTGCTTTTAGGAGAGGAGCTACTTCATGTGTATTATGGGACCATACTCATCATGCCACAAACTTACCCCCTCAGAGCAGAGATGAGGGAAGCTGGCTGCTCTTGGGATTTCCTGCTTCACTCCAGGAGATATGCAGAGGTTTGAGATGTCACTTAGAGATTGAAGGGTCCAAAGCCTTTATTTGCCACCATTCCTGGTGCACGTGACTGAGCTGTGGGAGATCACAACATGGATTTTCAGCAGAGCTGATCCTGTGTCATGTTAACTGTTTCCTGCTGGGAGTCTCACAGAGATGTAGAGCACTGCAGGAATGAAGTGTGCATGTGGCTGAGTTCAGGAACCAGGAGCAGGGCTGGCAGGACAGAGCTTGTGCCCACGCTGAGGTTGTGGAGTACACAGGGGCTTGAAGCAACCTGCTCTAGTTGAAGGTGTCTCTGCCTGTGGCAGGGGGTTGGAACTGGGTGAGCTTTAAGGTCCCTTCCAACCCAAATCATGCTGTGATTATGTGACCAAGACTGTCATGCAGTGGATGAGTCTGTTCGTAACAAGAGGATAAGTAGAAACACCATGAAGGGAAGCTGTACTTGGATCTTACTCCATGTTACACTTGGTGTTGGTCTGTTAGTGCTCAGGGCTTGGTAGGGTTTGCACACACTGCAGCTCCTACCAAAGCTTTTAGCTGCATACAGTGCAGATCAGATGCAGATGCAGTTTGTGTTCACTGACAGTATTTTGGGAACAGTGGGATACCTGTTGCCTGTCTGGGTGTCTTGGGAAGAGCTCGCTATTGCCTTTTGTCATCCATTGGGTCCATACCTGTCTGGGTGGGGTGGAGCTGAGCTTGAAGAAGCCTTAACCTGTGCAGCGAGTTGGACCAGTCCTCCTGCACCGGTGGATCCCTGTTGGGTGTGGAGCTCTGTGTTGGTGCTGTCGTGGGTGGGCTTCTCTTGCAAGAGCTTGCATTGTACGACTGCCTGTGAGCAGCAAGTGGCTCAAACCAGTTTCAGTGGTGGCATCTCTCTTCTCGTGTCCACCAGTAGAGACTGCTGTGTGTACAGGACCTTGGAGTCATAGGGAACATGCACGAAGCTTGTTTTTATAGAAATTCTTCTAGATACGTACAAAATGTGCATTTCAAAGCATTAAGAAGCAAAGCTGAAGAAACGCTTGGTTTGTATTTGAATAAGCTGCTCCTGTAGGAACCTGTTGCAGCTCTGTAACCTCACCTGGCAGCAGCTGCACCAGCAGCTGTGCTGTGATGTGTTGGAGTGATGGTGAACGAGGATGTTTTTAGGTGGCTCAGCTTGGCTACTGAACCTGCTGGGTTTTGTAGTGTAGCCTCTGGTTTGTGGTGTGTTATGAGTGATCCTTGAATAGTTTCTTGGCGTGCTTCTTCGTGTGACAGGAGATGGGCAGCGGGCATTTGGCCACCTTTAAACAGCTTTGTTGAAGGAGGCGAACACAAGGGTTGGTCAGTTTAGTTTATCTAGGAAGAAGAGTGGACAGTAAGCAATAGAATGTGCAGTGTACGCTGTGCTGAGTGGCATTTGGGACAAGATGTGAATGGCTTTTTGGACGTAAATCTCACAAATCCTTCCCTTTTCTTTGTTGTTCAGCTGCTCTTCAGGCCCTGAAGCGTAAGAAGAGGTACGAGAAGCAGCTTGCACAGATAGATGGCACATTATCAACAATTGAATTTCAGAGGGAAGCCCTTGAGAATGCCAACACGAACACTGAAGTGCTTAAGAACATGGGGTTTGCTGCTAAAGCTATGAAAGCTGCTCATGACAACATGTAAGTTATTCCCTTCTGCATCTTTCCGTAGGACCTTTAGTTTGTCGTTTGTTTGAGCTGCTTAATGCCAAGTGTTTCATAATCAAAGGTAGAGCTAGAGGAGCTAAATGTTCTTTTAAAATGCTCTAACTTAAACTAAAATTTTGATATTGAACAAAATATGAAAGCATCATGCTTTCTTAGTTTCCTACACTTTTGTACAGCACAAAGCTGCTGTTTTTGCCCAAAAGAGAACTAGGACCAGTGTAGTCTAAAGCAGATGAGAGGATGCACCAGTTACAGATCCATCTAGTAGCAGTAAGCATTTTCAACCTCAAGGGAAAACTTTAATGTCTTTCTGTGCAGTGGAGTTTGTGTTTGTAGCAGTAATTAAAGGTAAACTGCATTGTGGGAATCTTGTACTTGCTCCAGAAGCAAATTATAGCTGTAATAATGCTGGATGAGGAAACAGAGCAGTTTATTATTAATAATGGTAATGCAGAAGAAAACCTCTTCGTATGAAGGCTTTGTATGTAAATGCTGTGAGCTAAGCTGCAAGGGCAAAGTAAAATACACATGCACAGTTTTGTTGAGATGGGGATAACATTCAGACTTGCATGCAAAGTATATTTTGGGAAAGGACCTTATAAACATCACCGTGGTGTGGTGTCTCTGCAGAACCCAAGAAATAAAGCCTGGAGCGTCTCTTGGGAAAGTGTCTGATTCTATTGAACTCTTTCCTTTCTTTTCCAGGGATATTGATAAAGTAGATGAATTAATGCAGGACATTGCAGAACAGCAAGAGCTGGCAGATGAGATTTCAACAGCCATCTCGAAGCCAGTAGGATTTGGGGAAGAATTTGATGAGGTATGCTTGAAATTTGCCTCTCGATATCATCAAATCATTTATGGTGGAAAAGAGCCTTAAGCTCATTGAGTCCAGCTGTTAAACCAGCACTGCCAAGGCCACTAAACCATGTCCCTAAGTACCACTTCTACATGTCTTTTAAATACCTCCAGGGATGCTGACTCATATGAGAGCTTTCTTTTTAAGATCTGCCTATTGCATGTGTCTAGGTGTAGTTCTAGGATATAAGTTCTCTCCTAGAACCTGTTACTGGCTGTTCTTACAGTGCATACAGCAGCTGTGGTCCTGACTTTCTGCTGAGAATGCTCTGATTTGAGAATGAACTTAGATTCCTTCTTCCCGTCACTGCTTTCCTCGCCCACTGAGAGCTCATGTACAGGAATTCAGGCTCCTTATCTCACTTTGCTCTTATCCTGTGCATTTAAGCTATTCTCTTTAATAATATGACCACCTAAACCTACTTGCTAATAAATATGACTTAAAGTTTCTTCTTTTTTTTTCTTCTTTTTCCTCCTTTAAAACCCTAGGATGAACTCATGGCAGAACTAGAGGAACTAGAACAAGAAGAACTAGACAAAAACCTGCTGGAAATAAGTGGTCCCGAGACAGTACCACTACCAAATGTGCCCTCAATATCAATACCATCAAAGCCAGGTATGGATGGAGCTTTACCAGAAACATCTTGGATTGTTTCAGAGTGTGTTTATTCCAACTGCCAGCTCCTCAGACGTGAGATGTAACTGCAGGCAATGCAGAGAAGTTGCTTTATGAATCACAGATACATCTAGTGCTGTTTCTCCTTGGGGGTAACCTGCCATTCAGAACCATGCAAATGAATATCCATCACAGGAACAGTTATTATCTCTTCTAGCACTACCAGTTTATCCACAGCGTGGGTGATGCTCAGGGTAGAGTAGAGATGTGTTAAAAGGAAGCCTTCTGCCAGTAGCTACTGGCCCAACAGGGAAGTAGTCTTGACAGACATCCTAAAGCAGAAAAAAAGGGAGTGGAGAGTAAATGAGCTCTTGGAATTAGTCCCAGGCTGGTGCAGATTCCCACACTGAGCCATGCTTCCTGGCTGCTGCTTTGGTTTTCAACTTGATCACAGCTTTTGGTTGGAACTAAGCTCAGAGTCCCCTTTGGGGATAGCTGTTGGTGCCTTTGAGATTTGCATATACTCAAGCCAGACAGTACCAAACTATGGGTCATCCCAGTCTTAGAGCACATATATCTTGGAAATCCTAATAACTGTGATGATTTTACATGGGGAATGGGCAGGAAATGTTCATATTTACGCAGGCAGTTCAAAGCTGCTGTTAAATGTGGTCTACTCTTCTATGCACTAGAAGTAATACCTCATGAAATATCCCTGAGCTGGAATACCTCTGGCATGCATTAATGGATATGACACTTTAGTAGCCTATTTTGCTGAATCTGCCTTAGTGTGTGGTGAATAAGTTGTTTTCCTAATGCGTTTACCTAAATAAAAAAAGCCCCAAACAACAGTGGTTGAAGGTAGTCCCAGTTGGTCAGTGTGTCTGTAATTACCTTGCTCCCCTTGCAGGCTTAAAAGGACTTGGGCAACATCAGACACTACCAAACAGCAAGGTTCTACGTTAGGTGGCATGCTGTGAAGCTTGCTCCTTGTGCCTTTATAGTTCTTCTCTTAAGACAGAATTGATTCAGCGTTTTCCTCATTGTGTCTTGGTTGGCAGCATTGCTGACAAGTGATGATGAGAGGGGAGTAGGTCCTATCAAAATAGCTTAAATCTGAGGCTTCATCTAGCTTCAGATCCAAAAGCAGAAGAAATAGATGAAATAAACGTGTGCCTTTTCATTTGATTTCCTAGCTGGTTAAATGTTTTTTGTTCTCTAAAGAGTCTTTGAGTATGGACATTAAACCATACCGATTTGAACCCAAGTATGCCCAAATAGATAATTTTCTTGCATTATATTAGGTAAAGGTGGCTGTGCACTAGTAAGAGGCTTTGTAATTGTGCACATATTTAACTGTACAGCGTAAGATTTATGTAGACAGAGCACTTCCTAAAATAATAAAAATAATACAAATGATGACTGTTTTTGTAGTAAAAATGACGAGTATAAAACTCAGTGTTTTATAGGCTTTATGTTAAGCTGCTTTTGGATGGAAATTAAAATTCCATTGCTGTATTTAAAGGGCATCCTACTTAAATAAAACTGCTCCAAGGTTGATGTCTGGGAAACTCTGGGGTTCTGGGGTGGTGCTGGGTGGGGATTTGGTGTGGCTTTGGTTTTGTTTTTTCAACCTAAATTGTTTGTCACTTAAAATTGACTCAGTAGACACTGGGATTAAAGGTTTGCTTTTGGCCATCATAAGTCAGGCTTTCAAAGTGGCTGCTTCACCTAACAAGGCATTGGAAAGAAGTAATGTGCCTTCTGCAGTGGAGCTGCCTCTCTTACCTACTTTTCAGTCACTCAGTGGAAAATGTTCATGAGCTTCCCTGCTTTTCCAGCTCTCAGGAGCTGTCTGGATTTTGACTTAATCGGTCTGAATGAGAAACTTTCAGCTGTAGCCTGTCAGCTGAGGTGATGTCAGAAGGAATTGAGGGAAAAGCTGGAAGAGCTTAGTATAGCAAACCAAATTCCAAACTTGGACAAATGATAGGTCTGGAGTTTGCCTTAAAGCTGACTCAGTTCTCTCTTACACAGGTGCTTCATTGGGAATGACACAAACCATTTTGAGTAGGAATTGTTTGACTCTCTTTTTTTGCTTTGAAGCAAAACCATTGCAGCTATTTCTGTGTTAAAACCTTTTTGCTCAGTTAATTGTTTGATCTCCAGAGGCTGAATTTGTCCCATTATGGCAAATAGCAGCATTTGCTCCCCTGGAAAGACCAGAAATTATAGCAAGGCAGTGCTGCTCAACATTCCCATCCAACCTGCTGCTAGAGGAGGGTAGTAGCACATACCCATAGTTAGCTCTTCAGCTCCTTGAGGAGCTTGAACTGTCATGAGAGTTGGAGGTCTCCCAGTTCTGTACCTGGTTAGACCAAATCACAGTAGAGTCATAGAATGCCAGACTGGTTTGGGTTGGAAAGGACCTTAAGCTCATCCAGTTCCAACCCCCTGCCATGGGCAGGGACACCTCACACTAGACCATGTCACCCAAGGCTCTGTCCAACCTGGCCTTGAACACTGCCAAGGATGGGGCATTCACCACTTCTTTTGGGCACCCTGTGCCAGCGCCTCAGCACCCTCACAGGGAAGAGCTTCTTCCTTATATCCAACCTGAACTTCCCCTATTTCAGTTTGAACCCATCACCCCTTGTCCTATCACTACAGTCTCTGATGAAGAGTCTCATTTGTTGCCCTATGAAGACTTTATGATGGAATAAGAAATTAAGTTTTTATGGGGGAAATGTTGTAAAATGGGATGAATTTCTGTAAGAAACTGTCCCCCTGAGAAGGACTCAGAAGCTGAAGGCCTGAGGTCTGCAGGAGGCTGATAGAAACCAACAGACACCACTGGTCACGTTACCCTTCATGCAGTCTGTGTTCCTGCATGTAAACCGTTGGTTTTCCACTTGAAGTGGTAACACCAGGAAGTTCAGCCCATGCTGGTTTCTCCAGAAGGCACCTTTTACTTCAGTTCTTGTGTGTTTTTTATCCTATGCTGGCGTTTGGTGCTTCATGGATTGGTTTGGTCAGTGGCATGGAGGCTTCCCTCCTGCAAAGAGTCACATTCTGCCACGATTCTCACTCACTGGTTTCCTTTTAATGTTTTGCAGCCAAGAAGAAAGAGGAAGAGGAGGATGATGACATGAAAGAGCTGGAAGCTTGGGCAGGAACTATGTAACCACAGCAGTAACCGGCTGGCAAAAGACTTTGATTACCTATTCTGGGTGCAAATGTGTTGTGTTGAGGAGAAAGCATAAGCAAAATGTCTTTATCTTTAATTTTAACCCGAAGCAGTGGGAGCTGCATTGCTGTTTTCTGCGTAGCATGGTCTGCAAAAGGAAAGAGAGGGGAGCAGAGGGAATTGCCTGCGGTTTAGACGGTTGAATTGCTGTAAAAAGGTCTTTGCAAAATCAAAGCTTCTGGACTGTGCTGCTGCCACTGCTGGATCTTCATCTGCAAACTTTGGGCCATATTGAATTGAAGTCAGCTGAAAAAAGAACACTCTGTCATTTTAAGTCAGTTTAAGTGTGTCTACAAGTCTCGTAAGGCATTTCCAAACCAGGACAAGTCGTAAGCCACCATCGGCTTCTTATTGTGTTTAGGTGCAAGAATGCTTTAGGTTTTTAGTTCTTTGCAAGTTCTATTTATATCCCTTGACTGATGTGTGGCCAGCCTTGTGTTGTCACTGCAGCAATCTAGTCACTACTCCCATTTCAACTGGTCAGGAGGCTTTGCAATTGGCGGATGCTATCTTGGAAGTAGGGAAGGTTTCAGTTTCAGTTGTACATTTTTCTACCTAGCACTACAGTGTCGATTGCTTTTTTTGTGATAATTCATAACCCATTCAGGTACATGCACACAATTATTTTAATTAAGAAACTACTATGGATTGCACTGTATTAAATATCTCGATTAATTTTCACCGAGGGCTGTTGGTGTCAGTTCTTTTGTGGTGTTTAATCTGGCCGTAACTGACCTGCAGTTTGGCCTCTTTCTACGTGAGTAATATATGGTGTTTGAAGGTAGTTGGGTGTATGTACTACACTTGTAGGGAACAACAGCTGAGCAACACTGCCAGAGGGCTGCTTCAGCTGGTTTACTGTAATGACACTCTGGTCCCTCATGTCCAAATGCCCACACTAAGGAGAAGTCAAAGCTGGATTAATAGTGGAAGCAACAGGTTTAGGATAGAGCTGGGAGCCTCAGCTCTATGTTTTTTGTCATAGCAATGGTATCTGTTGTGCACTGTTCTAACAAATGTATTATAAAGCACTGTTACAGGAGTTCTAGGTGAGCATCTCAAGTGCAGTGAAGTGTCTTAATAGGAGTGTTCAGGTGTAGCTGGGAGAGGAAAAGAAATCCCATAAGCACCCTTAATGCTTTTAAGGTTACTGCTGTAGCAGCTCAGAAACTGTAAGTGAGGGAGCATCAGCTGCCAGCCCAGCTGTGCCTGGGCTGTGATTTCCTTCCTGCTCAGTTAGCCAACTGCTTTAACTAAAGGCAGAACCTGTTCTGCACAGCAAGGGGCCGATGTAGTGATGAGTGTGTGTTGTGATTCCCCTTTACTTTTACCCAGACACCTGGAACAGCCTTATTCTTTACAGCCTGTTTGTTCTGGATTATTTTAATAAATGATGGGGTGGTTTCTTAATCCGACAATTTATTAGTGTGTGTGGGCACCTTTCTGCTTTGAGTATCACTGAATTCCTTGATGCATTGCATTGTATCAGTGAATAGCTGAAATACCTGGAGTAAAATGAAATGGCTTGAACCTGCCAGAGGGGAGACTGAGCTGAGCTCTTAGGCAGAAGCTCTTCCCTGTGAGGGTGCTGAGGCGCTGGCACAGGGTGCCCAGAGAAGCTGTGGCTGCCCCATCCCTGGCAGTGCTCAAGGCCAGGTTGGACACAGGGGCTTGGAGCAAGCTGCTCCAGTGGAAGGGGTCCCTGCCCGTGGCAGGGGTTGGAGCTGGGTGAGCTTTAAGGTCCCTTCAACCCAAACCAGTCTGGGGTTCTGGGATTTCACTCACACCAGTGATCTGCTTTTGTACCTTTGGGACAGGACGAACATGTAGGAGCACTTGCAGAAGCTGGGCAGAGAATGGCTGAGGTGGCTTTGCTTTCAGTGCTGTGGTTGTGTACCTCAGCAGACGTCCTCCATGGGGCTGCAGAGCACTTGTGTTGCACAACAGGCGGAGGCTCTTCCCTCCCAGGAGCAGTGGAAATCTATCGCTCTGTCCAGTACTGCTGTCTATGAAATCCATCTTCTGTGTCACTGGATCTTTACCTTTCCAGGTGTATGAATGGATTTTCCATGTACCTTCTCTCCAACAGATGCTCTTTCTGGGAATTAACATACAGACATTTAACAGCAAGAACCTTCAGTGCAGTGTTAAGTAGGCAGGAAATAAGCAGTGCTCCATTAACTGCAAGTGGATTTGCTCATTAGTTAATGCATGGTGGTAATGGGGTCTTGGGAGGTGCTTCCTGGGACTTCCCTGGTGAGTGTGAAGAGGTCGATGGAGTGTTTGGCCTGGCACACGGATCCTGGGGCAGCTCAGGTTGTGGTGTGTGTTCTGCAGATAGTCACTGGAGCCTTCGCTAGCAGAGCTGTGTCCGGGGAAGATCCCACTGTGCATGGCATCCCACTGGTGGGGTCAGAGGGGCCTTCAGTGCCAGCCACAGCAACAGAAGAGGGGCTCACGGCTCCAGAGGGGGTCTGGGAGCTGGTTCCTGCAGTGGTGGAGAGCCCAGCTCTGCCCATGCTCAGCACATGGCTGTGGTTCACTGCCATAGCGTGGGCAAAGCTGAGCCGGCCGGGTGCCCGTGGGGTGGCAGTTGGTCAGTGGGGTGCTCAGGATGGGGGACATGGAGAACCTGTGTCCTTGGCTCAGGAAGGGGAATGTGGATGTGGTGGGAGGCAGGGGCTGAGGTGCTGCCTCAGGAGCTGTGTTGGTGCTGTGATGGGAGGGAGCAGGAATGCTTCCCCAGCTCTTCAGGAGCTGCTGCACCCTGCACATGAGCAGGCTATGGCATTTCATTTAGGAGTGAGAGCCCCTCACTGTCACTGGGTGGCATAGATCAGCTGCCATGTTTACCCTGGGACATCCTTTTCCGTGCTGTAAATGCTGCCACCCCACCTCTGTCACCCATGGCATCCACGGAGCCGGATCCCACCTCGGTACCTACTCCTGAGCAGGGGGAGCTGACCTTGCTTCACTGCCAGATAAACCCAGCTTCACTGCAGCACATGGCAGTCGCTGGCTCTCTCTTCACCCCCATGTCTGATAACAAGTTATTGTCTGCTTGCTTCTGCCCCTGATTTTCCCAACCCTAAACTGAGCCTCACACTCTGGGCTTTCCTGTGGGATGGATGAGTGCTGTGAGGCAGGGCCTTGGGACACTGCAGTGGGTGCTGTGGGACATGGGTGAGGCTAGAGCTGGAGCTGGGAGCCCCTGCCCCACTTGCTCTGGGGGAGGTTGGGGCTGTGACCGTGTTGTGGCACTGGAGGACTGCCCTCTGACCAGCATGGCCCTGGAGGTCACAGCCTGGGCTGAGCCTCTTGGGCTTCTTCCTTCCTCCTCTTCCCTACCATGGACCTGCCCTGCCTGCATCCTCTGTTAAAGCCACCATGGAAACCCATTGGATGCTCCTTGGTGCCGCAGCTCCTCCATCCCCAGCACAACCCCTGTGGCACCTCCTGGGGCCCTGAGGCCACCTCCAGCACCCTGCACATCGCTGGTGAGTGACATTGGAGCATCTAGAAGTGGGTGAGGCTGGGGAGCCCCTGGGCTGCACTGGGGCTGCAGTGATGCCTGACTGTGGTTCCCCTGGGATGTTGGTGTCTGGGAGGCACCATGGGCTCCTCTGCGGGTACCCCCAGCCCACTGGGTTACTGTGGCAATGTGCCATCGTGCCTGGAGATGCCATCACCAGTTTGGAACTCCCCTAATCCCTCTGCAGACAGGAATTTCAATCTCAAGCCTTTCATTAAGCCACTCAGCTTGTTGGAGGCTCTGAATGCAGCGTGTTTATGGAATCAGCCTGCTGCAAGAATGAGTTTCTTCTTGCTCAAGTGCTGTAATACCTCTGATCGATACAATGAGTTAAAGCCTTCTGTTCCAGCTCTGTTGAGAGGATCTGCAGTTGGACAGTTGCATGCTGTGCTCCACACTCCTTATTTTTAGCGTTATTTTGGATTCTTAGGACAAGACTGCACTCTGCTCATCTGTGAAGCTCTTCCCCTTGGAATCCTGCTCACGTGCGGCCTGTGCTCAGCCCTGGGGTAAATAAAAGAGCTCTCTTGCCTTAATTTTCAAACATCAAGGTCTATTAAATCAAAGTGATGCTTCCCAGATCTTGTGGCTCTCAGCAGCCCCGCTCCATCCTGCCCTCCCCTGGCTCCAGGCGCTTCGGCTCTGAGCTGGGCAGGATTTTGAGGCCACGTTTTAGGGTATTATCAGAGGTTTCCCCTTGTCTTGCCTGCGCTATGGGAACACGGTGACATCCTCCTGTGTGTCATCCCGGAGCTGGCTGTCCCGTGGGTATGAAGGGAAGGATGACTGGCTGGATCCAGCTGGGACCAGCTTGTGCTCCCCTTCTGCTGTTCCTGGGGTTCTCTCTGCCCCTTGCTGGTTGCTTGGCTCTACACCTGCACTGATGCTCCTGTTCTCGTTACCTCCTGTGATAATAGGGAGGTTCCCATCTTCTTCCATGACCAGCTCCATGTATGTGTTGTGAGGAGGTGTTGCAGAAGGACCTGGAGGGTGGTCAGCAGGAGGAAGGATACGACACACAGGGGCTTGGATGGATCCTCCCTGTCCATGGTGAGCTCTCCAGCATCAGCTGCCTTCACAGCTCCTATCCCTGCCCAGGGGCAGCCGATGCCAGGGATTCACCTATGGGACCAGAGAGAAGGTGGCTCTGGGGCTTGGTGGGACTGAGGCCTTCTGGGGTCCTGGGTGAGCAGCATGATGGCTTTGGGGATTCCAACTGTCCCAGCACCGGTGGGCTTCGGACTGGGCTCTCCAGCACAGCGACACAGCCGAAGCGCTCGTCCCGCTGCCCTGGCTCGTCCCCTCCTCTGCCGTGCTCGCGCACCCGTGTGCACCCGTGGCAGTCCCGCTGCAGGGAGCGCGCCCGGAGCACGGCCCGCAGCAGGATGGGACCGGCCCCCAACATCCCTCCCTGCAGTACCCGGCTTGAACACACGGGGGCAAAGCTGCATTTCCGGGGGGCGCTGCGGGTCCCCAGCGGCTCCTGCCCCTGCTCCGTGGAGCTGCCCGTGGGGCTCGGGGAGGCACCGGCCCCAGCTGCAGGGCGCAGGGCGCTGCCCGCGGGCTCCGTCCCCTGTGCCGGGCTGCGGGGTGCGCATGGGGCTGCCTGCACTGCGCCGTGGGGCTCGGCCAGCACCCGCCCTGCCCTGTGCCGGCGGTGCTGGGGGCACCCAGGCACGGGCACCCCCGGCTCAACAGCAGCGGGGGCCGTGGCCGGGCGGAGGGGCTGTAAAGCGTCTCCCGGTGAGGTTTGTAACCCTAAACGGGTTTCTGTGTCTCCTCCGAAGAGAGCTTCTCTAAGTTAGAGACCAGTGCTCTGATGCAGGGCAGGGGCACTGCCTGCCAGCTGTTAATGGAAACCATTTCCCTCCACTTAAGTTCCCAGCTCCCCGTTTCCGGAGGGGGAAGCCGTTGGGAGGCTTGGCCAGCAGAGGGCAATGCCGCGATGGGTTCCAGCTCTGTGCAGGTCCCGGTTCAACAGCGCTGGTCCAGCCTGGGAGGGGAAGGAGGCGCTGCTGGGAGCACAGGTTGAAGCCATTGCCCTTGTCCTGTCCCTACAGGCCCTTGTCCAAAGCCCCTCTCCAGCTTTCCTGTGGCCCCTTCAGGCACTGGATCCTGCATCGTTAAGCACAGCAGTAACGCGCTGCAC